ACAAACAGGGGATTGCCTTACAGGGTGATTTATGGTAGTTAGCTCTGCTCTCCAGGTCACTACAGTAGACATGAAGGCCTGCAGGGATTTACTCTGAAATGCCCTGGCTAACGGGATTCTGGCCAGGTGGACCAGGATCAATAGCCTGGGTAATTGGGCAACTGGTCTAAGAGAAGGTCATTCCAAAAATAAACTTGCAGCCAGTAAGTTTTTCAGTTGTCTCAGTTTACCTTATGTCACTTGGCATCTCTGCCGCTGCCCAGTGTACTTCACTGCCTGGCTGGTTTGGGTGATCTTATGGTCACAAACACACACCAGGTTATCTTTCACCAAGGTGTGTATTTATTCTTTTCTTATATAATAACACAGCGTACTTCAGGTTTACAGCAAAGAGATGCCCCTCCCAGCCTTCCCTGCTCAGCCCAGGCTCATCCTTTGAGCTTTCCTTCTGAGGCCCCCTGAGTTCCCCCTTGCTTCCTGTTCCATCCATTCATATCTTCCCAATTACATCATTAACCCAGTGATTAGCACCCATGTGCTCATAATCCCCCAACAGAAAGTGTATAATTGGCTTCAACTAAGCCTGCCCTCTTCCCAGTGCTGCAGCAAACTCAGTGACCTGAGTGCTACTAATAGTATCCTGTCACACCTTGCCACTGGAAAGGGTCTTGTTGGCCGAGAGAGTGTGTGAATTGGTGTACAACTGCTTGTTCACTTTAAACAAATTCTCGCACAGCCTTCAACAATCCAACAAATCCTGCAGCAATGGGGGAATGGCAAAAGCAGGGCCGGCTCTGGCTTTTTTGCCGCCCCAGGCAAAAAGCCTCCCGCCGCCCCCCGCGCGGCAGGGGAGGTCGCCAAGCCAGGCCGCGGGCCGATCTCCCCGACCGGCCGGAGCGCAGGGGGGAGGGCGGCAAGCCCGCCGCGGCTCCGCTGGCGGCCGGAGCCCCGGGAGGAGGGCGGAGAGCCCGGCCAGGGCTCCGTTCTCCCCGGCATCCAGAGCACCGGGAGGAGGGCGGAGAGCCCAGCCGGGGCTCCGCTCTCCCCGGCGGCCAGAGACAGAGCACCGCGCTGCCCCCCTCCAGGTGCCGCCCCAAGCACAAGCTTGGTGGGCTGGTGCCTGGAGCCGGCCCTGGGCAAAAGTTACAGTTGATGAACGTTGCTGAGAGTCATAGTCTTGAAATCTGCATGTGGGCTGGTCAAGAATATGGTCACTCTGCATTGACCTGGGGTAACACCAGAGTGTGGCAGCATCTTGATTGACATGACTGCTCTATTTAGGGACAGCACAGCTGACCTCAATCTGAGGAAGGGGCTAGAAAAGATTTCCCCAAAATTGCTCATCCTGAACTGCCCTCAGCAGCTTACCCTGGCTCGAGGGTGTCCCATCATGCAGTCGAAATTCAAACAAACCTTGAAAAGTTTCCTTTTGTGTTACTGTTGCAATGTGGAATGTTCATACATTATTGATCATCCAAACCAAATTGATCCTCTGCCAGGTGAACTGCTCTGGTTGTTCGAGAGCTTGAAAGATATTGTATCGACATTGAGGCACTGAGCAAGATTCAACGTGTTGAAGAGAGACAACTGAGAGAGCAGAGTTTTGGGTACAGTTTCTTCTGGAAGGGACGCCCACAAAACAAGCCACAAAAGGCAGGAATCATCTTTGCAATCAGAAAGAATATTGTCTCTTGTTTGGAGAGCCTACCCATTGGTATAAATGACAGACTGATGATGCCCCGACTGCCCTTGAAAGATAGATGTTATGCTTCATTGATCTGTGCTTACTCACTGACGATGACTAAGGGTATGTCCAGACTACCCGCTGTTTCGGCGGGTAGCGATCGATTTATCTGGAATTAATATATCGTGTCTCATTAAGACGCGATATATTGATCCCCGAACGCGCTCCCTGTTGATTCCAGAACTCCACCGGAGCGAGCGGCGGTAGCGGAGTCGACGGGGGAGCCACGGCCGTCGATCCTGTGCCGTGGGGACAGGAGGTAAGTCGGAATAAGATATGTCGACTTCAGCTACGGTACCGTAGCTGAAGTTGCGTATCTTACATCGACATCCCCCGCCCAGTGTAGACCAGGCCTAACTCTCATGAGGGTAAAGAGCAATTTTACTCTGAACTAAAAGACCTGATTCTATTGATTCCCTGTAGAGACTAGTTGATTATTTCAAGTGACTTGACCGCTTGTGTTGGTCATGATGATTTCTACATGGCATGGCATATTTGGTAAACATGGGGTTGGCAAGATGAACTGCACTGGCCTACTTCTGCTGAAGACATGGGTCAAGTAACATCTAGTTTTTACAAACATTGTCTTCCAACTCCCCAACAAATAAAAATGACCTGGATGCGCATTTGCTCATGTCAGTGGCATCTGATCGACAATGGGTTGGTCTGACATCATGATCTAGGAGGACATGTGTGCATAATTCTGGTATTATGTGGAGCTGATTGTTGGACTGACCACCCTCTTGTTTAGCCAAAGCGCTCTATTTAGCCAAAACACCGGTCAGTTAAGTATGTAACATTTTCCAGATGAAAGATCTGTCAATTGCCGATTGACAATTTCAACACAGCTAACTACTGTTTTACAAACTCTTCCAATGATCAGTAATGACACATTTACCATATGGGTATCCTTGTGACACACAATCTGTAACACCATTGTGGATTGTGTTGAGTGTACAAAACACTGTCATCCACACTGGTTCAACAATAGTGATCCTGAAATATCGAATCTCTTTGATGTCAAGCGATAAGGGCATGCTGCACTCTTAGCTGACCTGCTCTCTGAGACAAAAAAGGCCAGATGTAGGGCAGCCTGCAGCATGCACCGATGCAAACTCAGCCAAATGCAAAGTATGTGGCTTGACTGTAAAGTAGATAAACTACAGGCGGTCACTGATAATCATGACTCCAAAGATTTCTATGAGGCAGTTAAAGCTGTGTATAGCTCTGCTCTATCTTCCTTGACATTACTAACAGCTGCTAATGATGAATATCTCATCACAGATCACAGTGCCATCCACCAACAGCGGTGTGAACAAAACATTTTAGTGAACTACTGTTTCTGATGAGTCATGGGATAATGTCCACAAATTGCCCACATCTAATGCACTTGTCAATCCACCCACTTGAGCTGAGGTGTTGTAGGCTGTTCAAGCAATGAAAAATAACAAATCTCCTGGTCCCGATACCAATCCCGCTGAAGTTTTAAAACATGGAGGAAATCTCATTGACAGGCTTTTTGAAGTTTTCTTACATATGTGACTTCAAGAAACCAGGCCACAACAACTGAAAGACGCCAACATCATCAGTATCCATAAGCATAAAGGATCAAAGAGCAACTGTGGTAACTACCATGGTATCTCTTTGATCTCTGTGGCTGGAAAGATTCTTGCATGGATCTTCCTAAACCAATCCTTGATGGAAATCATTAACACAGAATCTGTCCATAGACCGAAATCAAAGTCTGTAATGCTCACATCTTTGCTGTACAGGTGTGAATCATGGACCTGTTATCAACAGCACATTAAAAAGTTTGACAGTTTCAATTTGTGATACCTATGACAATTGCTGGGCATCAAATGGCAGGGCTGGGTTTCCAACAGAAGTACTGGCGAAAGCTGGTTTGTTCAGCATCAAGGCTCATTTAATCTGTGCCCTGGACTGGACATGTAATTCATATGCCTGAGACTTGTTTATCGAAAAAAGTCTTATATTTCCAATTATGTTCCAGCAATAGTAAGCATTGAGGGCAGATGAAACACTTCAAAGTCACCCTAAAACAAAATCTGCACAAAAAGAACATTTCTGACTCAATCTTTGAGCAACTGGCAATTGATCATACTGCATGGTGCCACACCATAACGGTGGGTGTCCACGACTTTAAGAATTGCATTGAGCAGCAGGAAGCACATTGCCAGGCAGCTCAATCAGTGCAGCTAGGTAAATGGCTCTGTGGCCAGTGTGGTAAACATTGTTCTTCCTGAACTGGTCCATGGAGTCGTGCACAGACCCATTAGTACGAACTGTGATTGTCAATGTTGTCCTGGAAATCAAAGTGATTAGCATCATCATTAAGGTTGTTGCCTGCTGGTATCTGTACCTCCACCACCAGTTTGAGCAGGTCAGTTCCTATGCTTCCTCTATATGTATTTGTCATGTTTGCTCTTCCAAAACTAGATTCTGGAAGAGACTAGCAGTAACCAATTTTAAAAAGTGTGGTCACCCATCTTTCTACTGGCACTCACCAAAAAGAAAAACAGTGTATTTTTCTTCAAAATGAAGAGTTCACCATACAACTTTTTTGTTCAGGCTATAGCCGGTCATGGTGTTATTGACATCAATGAGTTTGTCAAGGACTCCGTTGGGACCAGGATTTGTCCATGTAAGAGTGCATTAATGAATGTATCCTGTAAGTAGAGCTGGACAAATAGTAGGAAAAACTTTTTTGTGAACATTTTCCCCAGGTTTGAATCACCTTTTGATTTTGTGCACTCCTACTTTTTGTTTGCTTTCCTTAGAACATTCATACAGGTAGGTTTTTTTAGAAATATCCAGTAAGGGACTGATTTTTCTGCAAATATCACAGTTCATATGTGATCAAGGGTTTTTGCTATTCCTGCTGTAAGTGCCTGCCTGTTTGTAAGTTGTGTGTCTTCCAATCAGAAAGTAGAAATAATGCCCTGACACTTAGGTGACCAAACATACACCTCAGGCAGAAAATAATCAAAGATGCATAATGAATACTTTTCAAATAATACATAGGTTGAAATATGTTTACATACAGTATTCATCAAACAGTTATAAATAACAAATACATTTATCAAAATCAGCCAGTTGGCAAATAATTCATGAATAGAAAAAAAGAGCTGCGGGCCAACCCAGATCCTACTCCCAATTCAAGGGAAATTTATCATTTATGCCCTGGTACATTAGTCATCAGTATTGAATGTCAAAATAACCAAGTGATTCCATGTACCTTTATTTGTTTGATTTCATACCGGATCATTTTGTGAGTGTCAAGAGGGTCATCACTGGCAGGAACCACCTTTTCACTGGATATTTTTGCACGAATCACTGCAAGGGAGGAAAAAGCTTTTATTTGTAAAGAAGCGTATGCATGACTTTTCCATCAGTACAATATGTTACATTTTTCCCATTTATTAAAATAATTGTAACTGATTGCCATGTTTTTCTCTTGGACATTAGATGTAATGTTCAGTAGCATTTAAAGCTTGTTAGTACAAGATTGTTCAAGTTAACACCTGAAAAAATAAAAAAGGTACAGGGCATAACCTGTCATGTAAATACTACATCATTTTCAACAAACCAAAATATAGCACATTGTTTTGAAATTTTCAGGCCAGATTTTCAAAAGGGTTCGGTACCCAGCAGCTCCCAATCAGCCACTTCTTTTTGGTGCCTAAGTAGGAATTGGTAGCTGCTCAACTCTTTTGTAAATCTCTGTTGAGACAAACATTGGCTTAAATGAGAATTGGTTGTCTAAATCCACTAGTGAGCTTTGAAAAATCTGCAGGCCTGATTCAACTCCCATTGACTTCAAAGGGTTGTGCATTGGGCCCCTGAAATACAGAGTAGCAATGAAACGGACCACAGTAAGTATTCAGCAAGACCATGGCAGGCAAGATAGAAATATGAATATCTTGTAGAAAATTAGAAAGAGAGAAGACGATAAGGTCAGGCATCCAAGTTACATCTCTTGTGATGGCAAATAGCTGCACCTCAATAGCTATTTCTCAAATTCCATGTGTAACTTTTGTTAAACAGAGTAAATGAGTTACTTCTAGTATTGCCTTTAGTGATGTCTTCCGTGTTTTAGCTGCTTTGTGCAGAGGGGAAATTATTTATTTCAATCTGTATCATCAAGAAAGAAACCTTTAGCTAATGTGTACTATAAATAATCATTAGGAAAGGGATAGATAAGACAGAAAATATCATAATGTCACTATAGCAGGGGTGGCCAACCTGTGGCTCCAGAGCCACATGCGGCTCTTCAGAAGTTAATATGCAGCTCCTTGTATAGCAGGGGTTCTCAAACTGGGGGTCAGGACCCCTCAGGGGATCGCAAGTTTATTACATGGGGGGCCGCGAGCTGTCAGCCTCCACCCCAAACCCCACTTTTCCTCCAGCATTTATAATGGGGTTAAATATATAAAAGTGTTTTTAATGTATAAGGGGGGTCGCACTCAGAGGCTTGCTGTGTGAAAGGGGTCACCAGTACAAAAGTCTGAGAACCCTGTTGTATAGGCACCGACTCTAGGGCTGGAGCTACAGGTGCCAACTTTCCAATGTGCTGGTGGGCGCTCACTGCTCAACCCCTGGCTCTGCCATGGGCCCTGCCCCCAAATCCACCCTTTCCCGCCCGCCTTCCTGAGCCTGCTGTGCCCTTGTTCCTCCCCCACCCCCGCCAGCCTCCTGCATGCCACGAAACAGCTGATCCGGAGGTGCGGGAGGGAGGGGGTTGCGCTGATCAAGGCGCTGGGAGCAGGGGGGGAGCTCATAGGGGGTTACTGACGTATTACTGTGGCTCTTTGGCAATATACATTGGTAAATTCTGGCTCCTTCTCAGCTCAGGTTGGCCACCCCTGAACTATAGAAATCCATAGAATGCCCATACCTTGAATACTGCATGCAGTTCTGGTCACCCATCTCAAAAAAGATATATTAGAGTTGCAGAAGGTGCAGAGAAGGGCAACAAGAATGGTTAGGGTTATGGAACAGTGTCCATATGAGAGATTAAGAAGATTGGGACTGTTCATCTTAGAAAAGAGACAACTATGGGGGAGGGGGAGATATGACAGAGGACTGTCAAATCAGGAATAGTATGGAGAATGTGAATAGGGAAGTGTTATTTACTCCTTCACATACCACGAGGACTAGGGGTCACCCAATGATATTAATAACTATTAGGTTTAAACAAACAAAAGGAAGAACTTCTTCACACAACCCACTGTCAACCTGTGAAACTCACTGCCAGGGGATGTTGTGAAGGCCAAAAGTATAATTGAGTTAAAAAAAGAATTAGATAAGTTCATGGAGGATAGGTCCATAAATGGCTATAAGCCAGTATGGTCAGCGACACAACGCCATGCTCCAGGTATCCCTAAACCTCCAGCTGCCAGAAGCTGAGACTGTATGACAGGGGATGGATCACTCGAAATTGCTCTGTTCTGTTCATTCCCTCTAAAGCATCTGGCACTGGCCATTGTCAGAGACAGGATACAGGCTAGCTGGACTGTTAGTTTGACCCAGTATGGCCATTCTTATGTTTCTTTTTTTTTTTTTTTTTTTTTTGTAATAAGCAAGCAGTGTTGACATGACACTTAGAAATATTTTCAAGTTAGAGTAGGGGAAGGTCTCTCAGAAATTAGATCTGAGAAAAATGAAATTAATTTGTGTAACACTTTTAAAGTAGAAATGCTTTTCATCATAACTAGTTAAACAAGACTCATGCCTTCCTCTAGAAAGTAAAGGGTGAACACATACTATGTATATGATGGCTTAAGCCCATTTCTAAAGGAAGGAAAGACATGAAAGCCTATAATAAGAACCAGGTTGTTTTCTTTAGAGCAATATAGAGGTCAACCTCAGCTAATGACAGGCAATTTTCATTTCCTGCTTATTTGCACAGAAAAATAGATGCATTAATCAACATAATACAGATAGCTGCAACATCTGAGCATGAATCCTTGCGTGGTACTGTGCTCCTAGATCCTAGAAGGGAGCATAGTAGGCTTAGAAAATAAGCTGGATGGAAAGGAAGGGGTTCTTCACATGTGACTAGCAAATTACATGGTTCAGCTTCTTCTAAATTGTAGACCAGAAATCAGCTACAAATGAGTTATGCACCCACTTATTAACACAGATTTTAAGTGCTTTAATATACTTCCACATAAAAGGTACTGTAGATGGTGTGCATTAATTCTTACTGTATTATGGAAAAGGTCTAAATCAGAATCAGGTTTAGGCGTCCTCACTAACACTGCTTATTAAAAGAAAAGATATCACATAAAAGAGCTCACTAGATATAAAAGAGGACACTAGGGGGCTGCAATTGAGAATAGCTCCATAATTCTGAAATAACACACAGTATTTGTAGGTAATAAAACTTTTGCTAAAGATACATTCTCCTTTGCATCTCCTGTGGAAATATACGTTTTTTTAAATTATTTATTAAGCTATACTTGTTACTATCAGTGAGGAACACACACATACACACAAAATCTATAATTGTCTCAAAAGGGACCCCTTGGATTTATATGTGGCAGGAAGTGCAACTTTTTTCTATCATTTACCCATTACTCTGGGTGTTAAAGTTAAGGGAAAAACTGAGTCCATGTTTAGTGGTGTGTTGGTTTTTTTAGTTTTTAGAGAGAGAATATTGCCTTTTAACTTATGTTGCGGAAGGGAGTCTAACTTGAGGTTTTAAGGGAAATAAATGATACTTGTTAAAGAAAATCTGGGACTTGAGTAGTTTTTCTTTACTTTTCTGTACTACTGCTCTCTTCAAGTCTGATTCAAACACACACACAAAAATGTGTCTGGCCCTTCCAGTTCTTCCTGTTTTTCTTTTTTTCTTCCCTTTTAAATTAATGTTTTCAATGAGTGTCGTCTAGCTGTCTGGTAAAACCTCTTATTCATGCAGTTACTTCTGTTTTTAACCACAAGCACTTCCTGGTTTAGCATTCTTTGGCTTATGCAATCCTACTTCTCCACTCATGGTGCAGAAGGAGATTATAACATGTGATTCCCCCATGTCTGTAGTTCTTTTTAAAAAGTGGTCTCAATTGCAGCAATACTGACTTGGCTTCTCCTCTCCTCCATATACCTTGAAACGGTCACTATTTGGAGTTGCTACTGTGTTGTTTTGTCATAGTAGTGCCACTTTCCCTGCCATATAGTGATTGGTCCCTTATGAAGAATCTAGGTATGTGAATGTGTTTGAAGTTAGTACACAAGGGCTATACACAATCTACCTAAAGCTCCTTCTGCCTTTTGCACTGAATATGTTATTGTATATATAAATTCTTTCCCACCTTACCACTGTAGAAATAGTACTTAGCACTTTTCATGGTAAAAGTGCTAAGTACAGCAGGCTTCATAACAGCTCTATAAGATAAAATATTCTTATCCTCACTTTATAGATGGGGAAATTGAGATGAAAAATGGCTAAAATACTACAGCCCCATACATGGAGTCAGCTGAGGCATCAAAATTGGAACTCAGAAGTTCCTGGGTCCCAGACTTGTGCTTGGTTCACTAGGATCATACTCTGAGATAGTGTTGATGTGTGGTGTTAAATAGCACCACATTCCACCTTGGAGAAGAATGAATTTCACTTGTGGGTGAAATGTTTTCCATATAGTTTATAAATCAGTTTGTAATATTTTAGGTTAAATGTTGCTATGTACATTTATTTGCATTTTTAGGTACATGTTAAGAATATTTGTATTCCTTCTTTCCCAAATATTAATGAAAATCTCTTACCATGCTGTGTCTGCTCCATGCTTCCCTTATTGCCTCACAAGATAAGAAAAAAATAATACTTCTGTAAAAGCCTGAGTTCTAATTTGCTATTTATAAAATACTAAATATCTTTTTACTAACTTTAATTAAATAGTTAACTTTTGACTCTCTTATGGATGTTCTGTGAAGACTGACATCTGGCAACACAAGTTTAGATAATGTTTCTCTTCAATATAAACCTCTGAACCTGTGTATTGTACTCCACAAAACTATCTTACCTTGTGAACTGGGGTGTCGGTTGCAATGGCACCCGTTCTGGCCAGGTGGAGCATTGCACCTGAGTCCACTCAGTTTGGGGCAAGGCTGTTAGTCAATTCCTGGTGCCCAGGAGGTCTGAAAATCCCATCTGTTCTTAAGTCCCTTGAGGAGTTAGTAGGGGAGCCCAGGCCCACCCACTCCATTGGGTTCCAGCTCAGGGCTCTTAAGCTAGACAAGCTGAATCAGGGTTTGACAACTCCAGCCATGCTCTGAGCTCCTTCCTACCTCCCTCTGGTTTCTGTAGGCTCTTCAGCCCACTGGTCCAGTCATGC